AAAACATGGGAAAGGGGCTATAACAAACCTGCCTACACTGAGGATCAATTAAGAGAACATGGATGGAATTGCAGTAAACTCTAAAAGTTATACAAAATACAGTACCACTAATGCAAGGCAGGAGGGTTCATCATGGAATTCTAAGTTTGTGGAAGCCTGCACAACAGTCACCCAGAATCCTGGATCCTGGGGGAGGACGGGGGAGAAAGGATATTAATAATCAAGTCTCCAGGCTCACTAAAGAAGTATCTGGCTTGACAAGCCATGTAATATAAACCCAACTATAACCTAGAAACACTGTCAGTTTTATTTTACCTTAATATACATTTATACAGGCAATAATAAAAAGGCTAACACAACAATTCAGTGAGTTTTACCTAGTTTCAAGACTAATGCATGCAGTTACAAATTGAGAGGTAGAAACACTGTATTAAAGACCTTAAAAAATACAAACATATAAACAAATGTTAAAATTAACTGCAAGAGTTTCATACAGATAAATAAGGTTAAAATTACATTATTTTGTCAAAGTAAAGGAAAACCATGTTTGTTTGTTTCTATCAGTACATTAATGCCAAAAGAGCAATGCCAAAGAGCTTCTCTGTGCAACTGTCAGAGTTCAGATTATTTTAGGTAAAAGGATTAGAATAAAAGGATTAAAACTGGTAAAATGGTTTATTCAAGTATTCAAGCAGGTAAAAAAAAAGAAACCAAATAATATACAATGTAGGAACCATTCAGAGGGATGTTAAGTTAACTGCCTGCATTCTCTATGACTAGATAGTTGGTGAACTGTCAGGATTAACATGGAAAAATATACATTAGGCTGGAGACAGCTGCACATTGTCCTAAGAGAAAACACACTTCCTTTTTCAGTAACTTCACGTAGAAACTCCACATCACTAACAAGTCTTTACTTTGTTTCGATCCGATGGAAATTCTCAAGAATATCTCTGCATTCATGATAGTTTTTCTAATACTGCCCAAATAAACCTAGCCCTTAATACACCTAAGGTTGGGGCCGGGGATTTAGCTCAGTGGTTTTGCCGCCTGCTACGCAAGCACAAAGCCCCAAGAGTTCGATCCCCGGTACCAAAAAAAAAATACACCTAAGATCACAGGCATCAATGCACATTTTGCATGCACAATAAAAAATTCAAACAAAAGCAAACAATTAGCAACTCAAAATACTATTGAGATCTGTTGGTGTCAATAAACAGGTAAAAACAATGCAAAGGTTCACATGAACACAAGTTTCGACCATCTGAAAGTTCAATAGAGATTATATATGAATTCTGGAAAAGGTATATGTATATAATCAAGTAAAATATTTTAAACAAGTCCATTGTGCCTCCATTAGTTTTAAACTGCAAAATCCAATACACAGTTGTTCTAATAAATTAGTGCAATATGAAAAATTTTGGAAGATTAACATGTCCATATTAGATCAAATGGAAAATTTCAAAATTTCCTCCAACAGGATCTTTTGCTTCTTCTTAAACTATTTATTTCCTCCTGAGCTGTCTGAAGATACATGCTCCGATTCAGACAAACTCATGCCAAATATCAAACTGCCTGGTGAGATGTAGATTCTTGCTTGTATACACCTCCGCAAACATGAAATTTTA